TAGAAAATAGCATTTTAAAAGAAAACATCAGATTTTAAAGCAGACATGAAATGTTTTCTTCACAGTTCAAATAAGCATTCAATTTAACATATTGAATTTAAATAATATATTAAATATGAATATATATCAGCTGAATATGTATCAAGTAAATATATATCAATATGAACATATATCAAATGAGTATATTCATTACTGTGAAGATAACATTTTATTTCTCTTTTGAAATCTACTTTGAAAGGTTTTAAACTGTCATATTCTATAGAAAGGACCCTGATCCATTTAAAACTTGGCAGTTTGTGTTAAAGACCAGGCTCAAAAACAATCTAGGAGAACCAGACTTTAGTCTAATGTGTAGATGATGTTGTAAAATTAGAATCAACAGAAAAGATTATTTCAAAGAGAAGATCTGAGAGAGGTGGATTGGGAAGGAAAGAACAACCATCTCATGATTGGGGAAAGACTGGTCATGGGAAAGTCACACTGCCAAACAAAAGATGGCTGGAATCTGTCTTTTTCTTGCTTGAGTCTGTTTTAGGAGAAAAGGTGGAGGAATGCTGTGTGGTCAGAAAGATGGTCATGGGTACTTGGAAGGCCACGTCAGGCCTTCTCTGAGATTGGGAGAAAGTAATGATAGCTAAAACTTAACCTACAGCAGTAAAAAAGAAGTGACAGGCTGGGTTCTTTCACCCCAGGCAAAGGCAGAACCAGGCAACTGGGGATTTTAATGCTGAATCAGGGAGCAGAGGAGCCAGAGGAAAAACAACAGCATCTTTAAACCATAGTAAATGGAAGCCAACTGCAAGGCCCTTTGATATAAAACTGGACAGAGTAGAATCCCACCCAGAGATAAGCTTGATGAATATCAAATAAACCTTCACTGCCTCTCCGTTAAGGTCTCCCTCCAAGCCTTTATCCCAGTGTGTAGGTGACCCTGCATTATCAGAGGCTATGCCAGCTTTGGGCAGCCTCTAACAAGGGCTCCCAAGAGGGAAAGGCTTTGAGTACAGGTCGGTTGATGGATTTTCTGTCTGCCGTCTGAAGGCCAGCGTAGTTGAATGCAGCTCATGCTCCTTTCTGTAGGATAGAATATTTAAAAACTCTTTAAAACAGAACAAAAATCTTAAAATAGATAGGAAGTAGTTTTTAATCACAGTTTTGAAAAAATATTTTTGGCTTACGTAGGAAAGAAACTTGGAAAATATCTATCATGTACAAAGCATTAGATGCTAGTAAGATAATGTATAAAAATTCAGGGTGGTTATACATATAATTTATTATTATTATTATTATTACCACCACTACCACTATCACCACTACTCCTAATTCCACTCCTCCTCTTTCTACTACTACTACTACTGCTACTGCTACTACTACTGCTACTACTACCACCACCACTACTACCACTACTACCATAGTCATCATTACCACCAACATCTTGGGGCTCTGGGCTCTATTTTCTCATCTGTTAAATGGAAGTGGGGAAAGGGTTGGAGTAGATAGCCTCTAGCGTCCCTTTTAACTCTATTTCTGACATACCTGTGTGACATTACTCAGGTCACCTAACATCTAAGATCTCAGTTTCTCATCTGTAAAATGAGAAGCATTGGAGTAGATGGCATTGGAGGTCCATTAAAACTCTTACAGTCTATGAATTGTTCCAAATCCAACTTATGGCTGGTTTCTCTTTAGCAGGAGCTTATCCTCAGAAGGTTTGGGAGTGTTTCACAGAATAGACGGCCCTTTGCTGCCATGAAACCTATCAATTCCATTTAATTCCAATAAATAGAATCCTCCCTCTTCTCCCTATGTCTCACTCAACATTGCCCACACTCTCTGTTTTTTTACCCCATGGTTGCCAAAATGGTAGATGGAACTTACCCTTGCAACCAAATGAACCTTCATTTAGGTCTCTTCATAAACATCTAGACTTTTCAATTTTCATTCATGCTTTGTATCCCCTACATTGCTCAGGTTTCCAATATCTGCTCCCTATACCCCCGCCATCTTCTCTGCTGCTTCTAAATTTATTTACTTTCTTTTCCCCCCACAACTGTCTATTATTTTTCTTCTCTATTATGAGGCTTGTTCACTGAACCATAAGACCATAGTTCTGGAACCAGAAGGAACCACCTTATAGACCACCAAGTCAAACCCCTTTGTTTTGCCAATGAGGAAACTGAGACCCAGAAAGGCAAAGTGATTTACCTAGTATAACACAGCTAGTCAGTATCAGAGGTGGGATTTAAATCCAGGTCTTCTTGACTCCAAGTTCTCGCCATATTGGCATACTTCCCTCTATTGGGTATTTCATTTCCCACTTGCATGCCTTTGCATTGGCTGCCCTTCATGCCTGGCATGTATTTCTTCCTCAGTTCCGTATCTTAGAATCCCTTCAAGACCTAGCATAAGGACCACCTTCTACATGAAAACTTTTCTGATTCCTCCCAGCAGCTAGTTCCCTCCTTTCCAAAACTATTTGTATTTATTTTGTATATATCCTAAATATAATTACATATGTAATTATTACACAGGAGGTAGAGGGACTGTGTAACTGAGACCACAGGGATTGGAGATTGGAGACCTAGGCCACTTGCTGTCTTTTATCTGTCCTCATGGTTTGTCAGCTCCAAAGGAAAGTGACCTCCAGTTAAGGGAATAGGTTTTCTATTCTCACATAGGTTAGCTCATCACCCCTACTTAGGCTACTGGGGAGGGGGGTAGTATTGCTTTTGGGTCTAATCTGGGGTTTCTCCCAAGAGAGAGAAAATAAAAGACACTTAATGCATATATATGAATTAAGAATGGATACAAGATTTGTTTCTACTCAAAGAAAGTGTGTCACAGAATGATCAAAACAGAATTCAGTAACTCACTTTTTGCTCCTAGCTTAGTCACCTGGGAGGTCAATATTCAAGTCTTGTTGAGACATACACAGTTTTTGCAAGACTGCTCATTACCATGTTGTATTTCACCTCAGTTGGAATTGTTCAGTCAGTCAACTGAGTTTGATTGTTATAGTTTTTTCTCTCCAAACCTGGTTCCTTTCTTGGCTAAGGTACTCTAGTCGTGGTTGAACTCTGTGATGAAGGTGCTTCCCTCTGTCATGACCACATGGATGTAACTAGTAATCTCTGTGTATGTAGTATGTGTATATGGGGTGGGAGTGGGGAGAGAGAGAAGGCAGCCCCCAAAACATGTATGCATTGTCTCAGTACAATGTAAGCTTCTTGAGAGGAGGACCAATTGTCTCTGTGTCCTCAGCCTCTAGCACAGTACTCAGAACTCTTTATAGCAGACACTATACTAGGGCTAGGGACACAAAGACAACAATTTTTTTTAAAAGTGCCTGCCCTCAAGAGGCTTACAGAATCATAGAATTTGAGAATTGGAAGAGACCTCAGTGACCACCTAGTCTAACCTATATAAGACAGGAATCCCTATTACAACAAGGGCTTACTTTTTATTGCTTGGTTTTGTGAGGCAGAATCAGCTGGACTTGAAAACTGAGTTTGGAGGGGGAGTGAGATGGAGGATGCAAAGATGGAATTTTGGCTCTAGAGGATGGTGGCTATAGAAAAAGGCAAGTTTTGGAGGAGGGGGGGTGGGGGCCCTTAGATGATGAGCTCTGTGCAGGACTTGTCTTTCTCCTTGTAACCTCTACCAATCAACCTTTTCTCTTGGGAGGGAAAAACCATTCATGTGGCAAGGACTTCAAACCCAATTTACCAGTGAAGGATTAGCTAAGAAGTCAAGAGTCTGACAGCTTTAAGATTAGTTATTCAGCAGAGATGTTTTTGGCCTGAACTTCATTGGTTAGTAGAACTGTATAAATGAAAGGTGACCTGTGTTGCATACAGCTGCTAGAGTAATTTTCCCAATTTTCCGTTTTCTTTTCCTCCCCTATGCAAAAGGCTACTCTGTTCGGCTATGGTATCAAATGCAAACTCTTCTATCTGACCTTCAGGGCCCTCTACCAACTCTCTTCCCTCTAATTTAGTAAACTGATGCTTATGGTTGCCTGATAGATATTATATAAGCAAATAATAAAAATCAATATTTATATAAGGCTGTAAAGTTTGCAAGGCACTTCATATAGTTTTTTCTCAATTAAGCCTCACAGCAGCCTTGTGAAATAGATCCCAGAGTTATTTTATTCCCATATTTCAAGTGAGGAAATTGAATTTCAGAGAAGTGAAGTGACTTGGCCATGGGTCACTTGGCCAATAATTAGCAGAGGCAGAATTTGAACCTGGGTCCTCTTGATTATGAGTGAAGCAAGTCATCTACCCCCATGTTCCTTCTACAAAAATACATTTCAAATGTGTAAACAGCACAGGAAAACAGGGGCTTTGTCATGTGAGCATGGTGATGCACTTTCTTCCAAGGTCATATTTTCATCCCACAGAGGTTCTAAAGTTTGTTATTCCCATGGCCCAGGATGTCATCTCTATTCTGCCGTTTTGCTTTCCTTCTCGATTGCTGCATGGGGGCACAAGCCTGACTTTTTGTGGGGCAGCCTTCCCTGACTTATTGGTTGGATCACCCCCTCTGTTCTGTGTTGACATTACCTCCACCCTTATATTGCTTTTTGCCCCAGGGTAAGAATTCTTCATGTCAGCTCTTATGCCTGGCATGTCTTGGGTATGTTTTACTTAGTCATGTCTATGGTTTTGTGTGCATCATTTCCCTTATTTGTAATGTAACAATCAGGGCAGCTAGGTGGCACCATAGTACATAGAGTGCAGGGCCTGGAGTCAGGAAGACTAATCTTTCTGAGTTCAAATCTGGTTTTAGACCCTGGCTGTGTGAGTCATTGAACTTCTCAGATCTCTAGGCAACTCTCTGAGACTTTAAATTACATAGAAGGTGGCAACTTGCACTGGTAGAGAGAATTTCCTCTCCTGGGAGTTCCCTGTATCAAGCTTCAGGCCCTAGCCTTTAGTTTCTCAGCCAAGCCATGTAACCTATGCTGACTCACCCTCTCTCTTTATTTTGAACAGACAAAGAGGTTAGCAGTGGGAGCTATAACCTGTCCAGTGCAACGACAGGAAGTTACTACAGCTGTGTCAGCCAGATCACCATAGGTAAGTAAGAAGGCGCCATTTTGTTTTAGAAAATAGAACTATGTATGTGTCTGAATATGGAGATTGGAGACACCTGAGCTCTGGAACATTGGGTATTGGGGTCACATTGGGCTAAAAGTCCTCTGCTTTGGAGAAGGAGGTAGTTGGGAGCCTCTTTAAGGAGCTGCAGGGCTTTTCTATAGCATTAGAGAAGGAAAATCTGGTTCAGGGCAGGGAGTCCCAGAGAGCTACATTGATTTGCTTAAAGTCTTGCCAAAGTCAGCATTTGAACTCATATTCTTTGACTCCCAAACTAAACCCAGTGTTCTTTCTATTACCCCACAATATTATCATAATTATAAAATTATTAACAATAACAAGGGTCCCAGATATATGGTACATGATACCTAGCAGCTAAATTGGAACCCCGAGCTAGATATGCCCCCTAACATTTCTTTTCCCTGGGGTCTTCACAATTTGTATTCCAGGTTTTCTAAGTCCCATGCTTAGAATCCTATTTCTTCATGGCTTCTTGGGAGCTTGCCACCACCGAGGATGCCTAGCACTGCTGCTTCTGATTCTTTTGGTGAAGAAGGTCTTAATATAGACTGACATATGATTATACCTTTCCTCTATGCCTGAGGATCCACAAGGCTTAGAAACTCAAGCGAATTTCACTGCTTTTTCAGATTACTTAAACTGGAAAAAAAGGCTTCTTTAGAACTTCATAAGATTTCAGAACAGAATAAATTATTACTTTAAATATTTCTTTCAGAGTTTCAGCAGTGCAATGATTATACATTGCAACTTTCGAGGACTATTTCTTGAGTGAACAAATGAACTGAAAACTTTCATGATCCTTCTGAGTCTTGACACTCTCTCTGACTTAGGAGGCCAAGAGTTTACGGTGTGGAAAAGAGGTGCGAGCTGCTTAAGGAGCTTGTAATGATCCTCTGTGCCTTGGAGTTATGGGCTTCACAACTTTTTCAATTGTTAGGGAATGTCCAACTTGAACTATTTTAAATCATTTCTTTTTTTGTGCCTGACCTGTGATTTTGTTGGTGCAGTAGCTTATGCCCAATGAGGAAACTATCTATCTCGATAGGGGCAGCTAGGGTATAGTGCTGGACAGGGAGTCAGGAAAACCTGAGTTGAAATGTGACCTCAGATATTTACTAACTATGTGACCCTAGGCAAGTCACTTAACCTCTGTTTCCTCATATATGAAAAGGTGATGATGATAGCACCTACCACCCAAGGTTGTTGTGAGGATCAAATGAGATAATATTTGTAAAGCACTTAGCACAGTGCCTGAACATAGTAGGTGCTGTATACATGTTAGCTCTTATCATTATTATTTATAAAATGAGAGTAATACTAGCATCTACCTCCCAGGGTTGTGGTGATGATCAAATGCAATAATATTTATAAAGCTCTTTGCAAACCTTAAAGTGTTATATAAATGCTAATTATTATTACTATTATTATTATTATTATTATTATTGTTATCATCATCATCTTCACCATCATTGTCATCACTGGGGCAGCTGGGTGGTACAGTGGATAGAGAGTGATGCCTGGAGTCAGGAAGACTCATCTTCTGAGTTCAAATATGACCTCAGACATTTCCTAGCTCTGTGTCCCTGGGCAAGTCACTTTACCCTCTTTGCCTCAGTTTCCTCTTCTATAAAATGAGCTACAGAAGGAAATGGCAAACCACTCCAGTATCTTTGCCCAGAAAACTCCAAATGGGGTAACAAAGAATCACACATGACTGAAACAACTAAATAGCAAAAAAACCTTTTGACTCCAGAGTCAGTGTTCATTTATTCTATACATATCTCATATTTACATGTCAATGTCCATGTTGTTTCCATAGTCTTAGTAGAATGTAAGGCTCCAGAGGGCAATAAAGGGACCATTTCCTTTTTCTGTCTGTATCCCCAGCACCTAGCACATAGTAGGTGCTAAATGAATGCTTGTTGAATGAATGGATGGAGGAAGGGAGGAAGTACTCCCACAGAGGCAGGCCAGCACCTTAAAAAAGAATGCTGATTTTGGAGTCAGAGAACTTGAGATTGATTCCCAGCTCTGCTATGTACTGCCTGTGTTACCTTGGGGAAGTCATTTAATGTTTGGATATCCTTTCCTCAATGGTAAAATGAAGAGTTGGACTAGACAGCTTCTAAGGTCACTTTCTGCTCTAAACTTATAATTCTATGAAACTCTGATTCTATTGAGTGTTGTAGTGTATTTGCCCTCAAATCAAAGATTTTCTAAATTGCTTAATAAATTAGATAATAAATGAATAAAATAATTAATTTTAAAAATTAAATTATGAAATTGGTTATTGCTGTAATGACAGTCACTGCTTTCTAGGAGAGCTTATAGACTCACTCTGGGGATGAGCTATAGATACTGTCAAACAAATGAGAAAATCACCAAGTGCATAGGAGAAGTCAAATCAAGCAGCCTGAGAGATTCCAGGATGGAACAATTCCTTCCTTTGGGGAAAATCAGGGAAGGCTTCATGGAAGAGGAGGCTGCACATGAACTGGGCTTTGAAGGAAATAGAAGGGTTTGAACAGGTAGAGATGTGGACACAGGTTTATTCTACGTACACAAATGTCTGGAGGTGGGAGAGGTCAGAACCAAAAAAATAGAGGCCCTTGATCGCGACATTTTATTTTATAAGTATTAGGGAGGCCATGAAAGTTTTTGAGTGTGTGTGTGTGTGTGTGTGTGTGTGTGTGTGTGTGTGTGTGAGAGAGAGAGAGAGAGAGAGAGAGAGAGAGAGAGAGACAGAGAGAGAGAGAGACAGAGAGTGTGTGTGTGTGTGTGTGTGTGTGTGTGTGTGTGTGTGTGTGTGTGTGAATCAGATGAGCCTTAGGAAGGTTGCTCTGGCAACTGGTTGAAGCTTGCTCCTAAATAAGTAGTTGTTGAGAAAAGCTTGCCCTGCATTTGCAGTCAGAGAACCTGGGTCCTAATCTTCCCTCTCTTACTTAGCATCTGAGGCTGATAGACCTGGAACCAGAAGGAAAATGAGAAGCCATCACGTCCAACTCTCCTTTTACAAGTGAACAAACTGAGTTTCTTAGAAGAAAAATGAGTCACCCAGTAGGTTCACACAACTACCCAGTGTCAGAAATGGGATTTGAACCCAGGTCTCCCTACACTAAGATCAGTGCTCTTGCCACTATGAGGCTGCCAACTTGTAGAGGCAGGGTAGCCAGTATGTCCAGGGGTCAGTGATAAAACCCCCTGATTGAGCTCAGGTCACTCTGGGCACCTCCTGTCCTTCCTTCCAGGGAGCAGCTTCCAATTTCTTTGTGTTCCTGGCCCTGTCTCCAATGTAATTTATCTGTAGAGATTCTGATCGACCGAGACCAATTCATTTCTTTTAAGCACCATGGGTAAAATGAATTCCGTGGAGAGCAATAAATAGACATTCTTCTGAATAGTTTGTTTGAATATTATGTGATTTGAAAATATTTGTCAATATCCTCAATTCCGGTGGCAAACTAGGTGGTGAATTTCAGAAAATAACAAAAAGCCTCCTTAGTTTTCTAGACCATGCATCTACGCCAATCCAACAGGACTCATAAATCAGCTAAAAATTTACCTCTAAAAGGAAACAAAACAAAACAACCTTAAATTCCTGGCAAGCTGCAGGCTTCCTCAGAGACTATTAAACCTAATGTCTTCAGGCTATTTTCTTGTGTAGTACAATGTCTCCAGCTGGTGTTGGAAATATGAAGGGGATGGGAAAGGAAACTGACATTTGTAAAGGACGCGAAAAGAGAACAGAGAAAGATTTGCTGCCATCATCGACACGACACTTTAAGGTTGCAAAAAGCAGTTTCTCCACAGAAACTCTGTGAAGTAGATAGGGTAAGGATAAAGACCAGACCTTCCTTATTGATATGAGGAACTCCCAAGCCAAAAAATCCTTTCTAAGAGTGCAGATTGGCCCCTGCTCTTCAACGTACAGTTTTAAAGAAACCTAAAGCATTGAGAAGGTAAGTGACTCGCCCAGAGTCATGTAAGTAGTAAGCTTTGGCAGTGAGTTTGGAACCTTGGACAGCTGCCTCTAAATCCAGTGCTCTTTACTGTCTTTGGAGAGGTGGGGAAAGGGGAGGGACTAAGTGTTTATATGATGCCTGGAGTGTGCTGGGTACTGTGCTAAGCCCTTTATAAAAATTATCTCATTTGATCCTCACAAAAACCTTTGAGGGTTAACCCTAATTCCAAGGTGCTTTTATCATCCTCATTTTGCAGTCGAAGATTGGGCAAACAGAGGTTAAGTGACTGGTCCGAGGTCACACAGCTGGTAAGTGTCTGAGGCTGGATTTCAACTAAAGTCTTCTTGCTTCAGGTCCAGCAGTCTATCCACTAAGCCATCCAGCTGCCTAATTAAGCCGCCTCTTTAATCCTTCTCCTAGAAGATTTTAAAAATGCAAGCAAATGATTATCTTTAGTAATAATTTTGGATTCTGAATTTGGAAATGTTTACTAAAAGATGAATAATATCTCAAATAATTAGGACCTTCATGTAACTGGATTTATGTGTCCAAATTTGTACTATGTATGTAGTAGAGATACAAGATGACTAATCTTAGTACTAGTGGTATATGTCAGAAAATTAGTTTTTAAAAATGTCCATGTTATCAGTAAACATTTCATTCAACAGGAATCAAACATAAAATTATCTATTGGGCATTTATAACCTTTCACCACCTGGATGCCCCTCCCCTGTTTTTCCAGTTCCCTGTTTCCCGTGTCTGGAATGCTCTCCCTTCTCTTTGCCAGCTCTCAGCTTTCTTTAAGTCCCAACTAACCTCCTATTTTCTACAGAAAGCCTTTCCCAGCCTGTCTTAATTCTAGGACCTTCCCTCTGTTAATTATTGCTTTGTTATCCTGTATAGAGCTTTTTTTTTTTGGCCTAGTTATGTCCTCATTAGATTGTGAGGTACTTGCAAGCAGAGACTCTTACCTTTCTTTCTATCCCCAGTGCTTAGTGCAGAGCCTGGGACATAATGGGCACTTAATAAATGTTTAGTGACTGCCACCTCCTAAAACACAGAGACCTTCAGGTACGTGGATCAATGTGTAGATAAGTATATTCCCATTATTGTTTAATGAGAATTTGTGTTCAGAATAATGGTACTGGAGAAGTATTATTTGGATCATCAGAAATAATTTCGTCCATCAGATTATTGAGTACGGTGTAGTGGATTGTAGTGCCCTCAAAAGGCAGGAAGACCTGAGGTCTAGTCCTGCTTCTGACATGTTCTGGCTTTGTGACCCTAACCAAGTCACTGAACCTTTCTGTGCTCCAGGTGACCCTTTAAGATAATGTTATTGTTGTTGTTCAGTTGTTTTTCGGTTGTGTCCAACTCTTCGTGGCCTTATTTGGGGTTTTCATGGCAGAGATACTGGAGTTGTTTGCCATTTCCTTCTCCAGCTCATTTTACAGATGAGGAAACTGAGGCTAACAGGGTGGAGTGACTTGCCGAGGGTCACACAGCTAGTAAGTGATTTGAATTCAGGAAAATCAGTCTCCCTGACTCAAGGCTTGGCACTCTATCCATTGTGCCACCTAGCTGCCCTCCCCAAGAGTAGACTTAGCAGAGAAGATGTCAACCTGTGTTAATAGAGGTAGATTCAGCACCCAGGAGTTCCTTATATAAATGAAATTATAGGTGTAGTCCCTATCCCTGTTTCATAGGATCTTAGAATTTTAGAACTGGGAGGGACTTCACAGGATAACTAGTTCAACCCCCTTATTTTTACCAATAAGGAAATTGAGGCTTGGAAAGAAAATCACACAAGTGATAAGTTCCAGAGCCAGGATTTTAACCACAGTCTTCTTGGTTCAACTTGAAATCCAGAATGTTCTTCTTATTGTACTTCACTCTATCCATCATATCCACCATATTCTTCTTAGGCATAATTTTGAATGGGTTGAAATGAAAGTGTATTTCTGCATCTGTTCAAATTAGCAAATGGCTATTTAGCATCTACTGGGTACAGAGCACTGGATGACTTACTAAATTTAGAGACAACACAGTTCCTGCCCCTGATGGAACTTACAGTCTAGTAGAATAATGTTGCATATACACAAATAACCAACATTTGAAATAATGTCTGGCAGGTACATTGATGAGAAAACATGCATTGGGAAGTCTGAGAATGGGAAGAGATGACAGAGAAAAACATCCTGGAGGAGATGACCTTTGACAATTGGAAATGGGCTGGGGATAGAAAGAGCATTCCAGAAGCAAAAACAGCATGAACAATGGCACATTGGTGGTGGTAAAGTGACAGGAGTCAAGAGAGTCAGTCAGTAGTTGAATTTGGTTCTAGAGCTGAGTATAAGGAGATGGAGAGTAAGAGATTAGGCCCAAAAGATCAGCTGATGAGGCAGAAAACCCAGTTTATGTTAGCATTTAGATTCTCCATCTGTAAAATGGGGATAATAATAACACCAATATCACAAGATTGGTGTGAGGATCAAATGAGTTAAGATTTGGAAAGCACTTTTTATTAAAGCATTAAATAAATGCTATTATCACATTTGAGGTAGATGGGCTTTGTTGTACAATACAGTTCCCTATGTGACCTTAGGTAAATGACTTCCGCATTCTTGGCCTCAGGTTCTTTAATTATGAAACAAGGAGGGGGGAGGGGATGGCTAGATTAGATGGCTCCAGAGGTTCATTCCAGCTCTTGGTCTGTGAGCCAGAAGGATGTCCAGAATGTCATTGATTGGAGAACAAGTCCTATTTCCATATGCCTTAAGTCCATAATCCTAACTCTGAATGCCTGATTCTCCACATATGACCTCTCCTCCTCCTTTACTGAGATTAGGGACATCCAGTCACATAAATCCAACTGTGTAGGTGACTTTGAAGTAATCTTTTTCCTAAGCTCCAGTTGGAAAGGACCCCATACATACACCACTAAGCATATCTAAAACAGAACCCATGGTCTTCCCCACATAGCCTTTCTGTTCTGACTTCACCATTCTTATGAATTGTGCCATCTTCCTCATTGGCCAGAAGATAAATGTTGGAAGCATTCTCAACTCATCCTTGCTTTTGGGTTCTATTGACTTCTTCTTTATAAAGTTTCATAACTCTTTCCTTTCTTTTCTGTTGCAGTTTCTACCAATCTAATTCTGATCTTCTTTGCCAGTTGTCTAGGCTATTGTGGTAGTCTCTTAATTGCTGTCTCTACCCTTAGTCTTATCCTTTCATAACATGCCTTGATCAAAAACTTCAATGGTTCCAACTATCTGAAGAGTGAAGTCCAAACTCCTTAATCTTATGTTCAAAGCTCATAAGGTTTTGGCAAAACGATACAGTGGAAGATGCACTGAATTTGGAGTCAAAGGTCATGATGTCAAATCCTGGCTCTTATTACTTGTATGACCTTGGGCAAGTCACAACCTCTCTGGGCCTTGGTTTTCCCTTTTGCAAAATGACTAGATTGGGCTACATGGTCTCTCAGGTAACTACTATACCCGTTGTAGATTTATGACCTGAATTTGAATGCTAGCCCTTCTGTGTGACCTTGAACCTTGGAGTAACATTGTATCTCTGAATTTCAGTTTTCTAATCTGCAAAATGGGGATAATTACACCTTTAGTGCCTGCCTTACAGGACTGTTGAGAAGCTTATGTAAGATACTGTGCAAATATTAAAATGTTATACAAAAGTCTGTTTATCAATATAATCATTTGAGAGGGAAGAGTAATCTGTAACTTTATAGATGTAGGGAACTCCCAATTTAAAAGAAAAAACCCTTCCTCTACCAGTGTAGGTCAGCATATTCTCTGAACCCTTTTATCTAGGAGAGTAGCTGAAGCAATGAGAAGTTAAATCCAAAATGACCCATCATGCATGTGTCTGAAGTGGGACTTGACCCCAGGTCTTCCTCCAAGGCCAACTATGGTGCTTCTGGATGATGATATTGCTGTTGTCAGTGCCTTCGTATTTAAGATTTTAATTTACAGATGAGCCGTTGAATTAAAATTGCTGTCCAGGTGCTGGTCTGCATTGGTAGTGGCAGTCTCTTCACTGGAGATTTCCTTACACCCATGAAATCATGGGTCTGGACCAAAAATTATCCTTATTGTTCTTCTAGGCAGTGGGACTGCCTCAAGGAGGACTTTCTTGGGGTGATGTCACTGGCAAAGGCTATGAAAAATATATAATGGAAGAGCATGTAATGTTGCCTGACTTGCTTGTACTGACTTAAGATATTTATGTTGCCAGGTTATGATGTTGCTGGGCCAGTGGCTATTGGGTTGTCCCACTGGAAGAACCCATATGCTCAAGGTGGACCTCCACTGTCATCTGATCTGCCTCTCTTCATCTCCAAAGATGCAGGCATTCCTGTGTATCACCGTTCTTTTACTCGAAAGACTGATGTAGGGACCCCTTTGTCTTGCCCAGCTTCACTGTCCATCACTCCAGTGCCTTCTTACAGCAGCAGCAGCCAAGAGACTCTTAGTCAAGATACGACAGGTAAGAGCTTTTAGCTTCTTTGAGAGAGGGTGTGGCTCAGGGCTCCGCTTGCTTTAGTCCCTTTCCACATCACACTGAAACATAAGTGGTACTTAAAATTCTGATTGTGTGACAGCCAGAGTACCAAAGAGCCAGCTGGATTCTCATGGAATTGGTTTCCATGGGTTCCCACCAGGGTAAATTTGGAAGTAGTTGGTTATTGATTCAAATGCCTTTAATCTCGAGTAAAAGATGGTGGCAAAACATCCTCCTCTCTTAGCGGAGGTTGAGGAGCATGGATGTGGAATATTACATATACTGTCAGATTTTGGTAGTATGTTGATTAGTCTTCCTACTTTTCTTCCCTCCCTCCCCACCTTTCTCTCACTTCCTTTTTAATATAAGGGATGGCTCACTGAATATGGGAAGAAGGGGAAAAATAAGTTGCAAATGAAAATGTTTAGAAAGGAAAGAAATTGATAAAAATGAAAAAAAAACTAGAAGTACTGAATTCATTATAAAAGATTTAACAGCTGTGAAGGCAAAAAAAGGCCCAACTCTTCAACCTTCATTCAAGTCTCTCATTAGATATTTAAAGATCTAGAACTGATTGACCATTCATTGAGTCTCCTTGTTCTCAAACGACTATTCATTTTCTCCATGTGTGGTGCACCTTGCTCACAAGAGTTTAGGTCTAGTGCTCTGAGCAATGAGAGCAGAAGTGCTTATGAGAGTGATTTTTCACTGATTCCTTGGAGATCATCTTCAGCCAATTAAAGAAATGTAGAAACGCCAAAGTGGTTGAGTCCATTTTGTCACTGCATTTAAATTACAAAGAGAAACAGTGGGGGATCATGTCTAGAGAGCTGGCTTCAGAGTGTGGAGGAGCTATATATCGTTCCTGCCTCACATGTATCCTGGCTCTGTGATCATAAACATGGTTGTCTTTCATCTACTCTCTCTTGCATTTACTTCTTATGTATTTGTAGTCTCCTCCATTAGAATGTAAGCTCAATGAGGGCAGGGACTCTTTGCTTTTTCATTGTGTCACCAGGACTTACCATGGTGTCTGGCAAACAATAAGCATTTAATAAATAGTTATTGGTCATGGTACCCTGGAAAGAACTCTGACTCTTAAATCAAAAGACCTGGGTTCAAATCCCCATTTTGATATGTATTATATGTGTGACCTTGGGCAAGTCATTTAGTCTCCCTGGGCCTCAGTTTCCTTATCTGTAAAATGAAGGAGTTGAACTGCTTGGCCACTGAGGTTCCTTTTCATTCTAAATCTGTGAGCCTCTGATTAATTATGAAGGAGCTGATAACTAGTGGCAATGGAGGGAATTTCCATACTGAGAGTCTCCCACAGGGATGAAATCACAGGTTTGGATTTTTTTTTAAGAATGTACGTTAAAAGTGTAAATTATTTAGACTTTCCTCTGCCATTTCTTCCCCGTGTGGATAATGGTTCTTTGGAAGCAGTGATATGACCAAGAAACTAACTCTTCTAATCTAGAAATCTTCCACACCTGGATTCCATTAGTCACTTAGTCATGAGTTCACAAATGCTGCCACCTAGAGGTAAGATCTCTCCATTGCATATCAAATGGTTATGGCATAATTTGAGGTTGGGTTTGATCAGGTCTCATATACTAAATTTTTGAAATGTCCTCTGAGAATCTTTCAGTCAAAATTGGTGCTTCATCAGCATCACAGACAGGAACATGTTCCCCTTCCATTTTTAAAGATAATTGTTTTTTCCATAATGTGTATAGTTTGACGTGCTGATTGGAAATCAGTAATCCAAGCCCTGAAATCATCTGGGCTTGCCAATGTAAAAGTAGTGACTTAAAGAATTTTCTAGTTTCTCTCATTTCATTTTTTAAAATAAAATTGTTTATTTTCAATGAATAAAAATTTATTTTTTCCATGCCCCAATTATAAAAAGAAAAACAAAACCTTTGTAACACAGATGCATCATTAAGCAAAACAAATTCCCACTCGGACTCCATTCAATAAATATGTTTCATTGTGAATATTTAGTCCATCACTTCTATGTAAGTCTGTTCCGATTTCTAGAGAAAGCTGGTTTCTGTACACAATGGCTTCAAGATGGTATGAAACTAAGAGGTGGTGTGCTCTTTCTGGACAGGGAAAATGAGAGGCTGCAGAACCACCTGAAGTGAAGCTTCCTGGGAGGTAACAACTGCCACATTACCATTTCATCATATCTCTGTTACAATGGAGTATTTTTTTCTCCTGTAGATCACCATAATCAGAAGCAGTCTGATTTCAGTATGCAGTGTCTATTTTTAACTGGCAGTTTTAAAAATACAAAATGCTATTTGATTCCTGGGAGTCTTACTGTTAGCAATGAGATATTGAATTCCCCTCTAAGGCAATCACGTTGCTGTTTTTTGTTAGATTCACAGAGATGGAAAGGACTTTTAAATATACTACTATGAAGCAGCTAATTTTCTTTTTAAAATTGGAGACTGTGTGGTTTGTCTATGTTTAAAACAGGCTCACAATTACATTCATACATGTCTTATAGTGATTACTTGATTTTTAGCATAGTGCTGGGCCTGGAGTCAAGATGACTCATCTTCCCAAGTTCAAATCCAGTCTCGGGTACTTCCTAGCTGTGTGACCCTGGACAAGTCACTTAACCCTATTTGCCTCAGTTTCCTCATCTGTAAAATGAGCTGGAGAAGGAAATGGCAAACCACTCCAGTATCTCTGCTAAGAAAACTCCAAATGGGGTCACAGAGAATTAGATGTGGCTGAAAAATGACTGAACAACGTATCTTAGAAGATAGAGAACTGAAAGACCTGGGTTCAAGTTCCCCCTCTGATATGGGCGATGGGACCCTGGGTAAAAGACTTAAAATATCAGTGTTCTAGGGAATTCTCCAAGTCTGTAAATTACAGAGAAGGTGTGCATCTGCACTGATGTAGGGAGTCCCCTCTAGGAAGTTCCTGTACTGGTTAAATCACAGGTAGGGTCCTTCCATAGGCACTTAGACATCACAGTGGATAGAGCTCTGGGTCTGGAGTCAGGAAAACCTGAATTCAAATGCAGCCTGAGACACTTTTACTAGATGTATAACCCTGGGCAAGTCACTTAACTCTGTTTGCCTCAGTTGTGAGGATCAAATGATATAATCATCGTAATGCACTCAGCACACTGCCTGGCACATAGTAAGCACTATATACATGTTAGTTGGAAATACATTGTAATACCACGTACTAATATAGTACTAAATACTAATAGTATGTATAGTACCATGCATTAATCCTGCCTTTGTCACTTATTAGCTGTGTGATTTTAGGTAAGTCCTTTCACACCTCCTAAACTGGCCTAATTGTTGTTTCTCATACATGATGCCATGTCTTTACACTGGCTGTCCCCAGTGGCTGAAATGCACTGCCTCCTCACTCCTGCCTCTTGGCTCCCCTGGCTTCTTTCTAGTCTTGGCTGTAGGAGGCCTTTCCAAGTTCCCCAGTCCCCTCTCTCTCATCCCTACAACTAGCACCTTTCCTTTGAGATGATCATCCTTTTACAGTGTAGAGATCTCAGATCTATGGAGTTATTTGTATGTTGTCTCTTCCATTGGACTGTGAACCCTTTGAGGGCAAGGGCCATGTCTTCGCCTTTCTTTGTATCCCTAGTGCTTAGCATAGTTCCTGGCATGTAATAAGTACTTAATCAATGATTATGAAATGATTGACCCTTTAGAGTCTCAGGCAAGTCTCTGAGACTTATGGATTGTTTTGCTCAGCCTCTCTAGACAGAGTTCTCACGCAGATGAACATGTAAGTGATTGTTGATGTACTGTTTTTTTCCAGGGGTATCAGTTTTCAGGGGAATTGGCCTCACTTCTTTTCTGTTTCTTTCTTTTGCTTGAGTTAGGAGAAAGCATGCTGGAAATTGTCAATCAGCTCAGATATTTCACTGCAGTATCAGAGAATGTGGGAGCTGTCCAGCTGGAAAACCAAAAACATCATCTCTATTAACACCCAGTAAATGGCTGTCCAGACCTCTCATGAAATTACCTTCTGTAATAGGCAGTTCATGACTCTTTTAGGCTGGCCATTCCATTTTGGGGAGCTCTCATTGTTAGGATGTTTTTCCTTAATGCTATCTAAATCTGCAGCTTCTACTCTTTGCCCCCATTCTGTTCTGTGGGGCTAACCAGAACAAGTTGAATCTCTTTTATGTGTAAGGGACCTTTATATACTTGTACAACACTCTTGGTTTAACCCACTAAACTTTATTGAGCCTAAATATCCTCAAGTCTTCCACCCACTTGTCATATAGACTGGTCTTCTCTCAAGATCCTGTCTTCCCTTCTCCTGAAACACAGTAGCTTAAAGAATCATGGGATAATGGATCTAAGAGCTGAATGGGAACTTACAGGTTTACAAATCTAGTCCAGTCTCATTTTACAAATGAGGAAACTGAGGTGAGTCAGTCAATAAACATTTATTAAGTGCTGTGCTAAATGCTGAGGATATGAAGAAAGGCACAAGTCAATCCCCACCATCATGGAGGCTAATGGGGAAAATAGCATGTAAACAACTTTCCGCAAACAAGCTATATACAAGATAAGTTGTAAATAATCAACAGAGGGAAGGGGTAAAGGAAATTGGGAAAGGCTTTCTGAGGCTGGAGAAGTTAAGCTTCTTGGAATGTGGTACCCAGAACTGAGCACAAGATTAGAGCATCATTTCCTTCATGCTTCACAATGTTATATGATAAATGTGTTATATTAATAAAATTATATCATTTATTGCATCTTTTCCCTCTTCCTCCTCCTTTCCCTTGTGTACCTTATTTCTTCTCCAGACAAAAATGGTGGGCAAATTCTTAACATTACTACAGATTGGCCACTCACTTAGAGCTTATAATCTTAGACAGTTGCCCTCGGCATTGAGAAATTGGGTGACTTGCCCATGATCACACAGCTTTTGAACTATAGCTACCTAGGGAAAGAAATCAGAATGATACATGAACAAGA